AAGTTTAAAGGGATAGCATTGTGTAAAAAAATCAGCTCTTCTGTGGTGGAATGAACTTAGATGTTATGGATGTTTGAAAAGATTTCGTTCCATTCCCCAGAATTTGTTAAGAGGATCATCTGACGTGTGAATGTTTGCAGCTCAGTGCTTTTTCAAGGAGCTGCACATTTATAAAATGTTCACTGTGCTGCTAAAATTTGATTTCATATGGCAGCATTCATGTCTTGTTATTCATTATATGGCTAACAGAAATGTATTAAACTACAACCAGGATGTAATGTAGTATGGGAATTTATAATCAAATTTGGATAAAGGTTAAAAAATAAATATGGATGCATTGCTGATATAAATGCAAAAATTAAGCACGATCCTGGACTGTTTCGAATCTGATTTGGGGCCCTTGTGCTGCATTTTCTAATTATTTCAGTACCGCAGTAAATATGCTTCTATAAAAGCATTTTTAGATAGAGAAACTATGAGAACATTATATATACGATACTAAAGCATGGGGCAATTCCAAGGTAATTGCACTTAAATAAAATGCACAAAACATCTTCCTTTTATTAATATTGGAATCGAGTTTTCAGCTCCATGACTTCCATGAACTTGATCAGAAATTAGATTTTGTATAAAATATAAATGTACATCTGTATGCTATGTACTGTATATAGAACCATATGTTTTGTGGATATGTATACAAAAATATGCACACAGCAAGTTGTTTCTATCCAAAATATGAACGTGTCAATAAGAGACCGGGATTGTTAACTAAATAACAGAAAACAAAATAACTGGGACACTTGTGGGTAACATTAGACTTTAATGAATGAGGAGGTAAACAAAACACAAAACGAAAGATTAATACCTCTGTGTTCCATCCAACCATTTTCATAAGCGCTAATCTTGAGCAAGGTCATGGTAGGCCCGAAGCCTTTCACGGGACGCACTGGGGAGGGGGCACCTTGGATATCAGCTCTTTGCAGGGTACACACTTGGGGCAATGGGGCACCATCTCACCCCACCACATGTCTGTGGGTTGTGGGAGGAAACAGCGGCCCCTAGAGGAAACCAACGCAGTCATGGGGAGAACATGCAACCTCTGCACATACAGAGCCACAGCAGGAAGGCAGGAATCCACAGCCCTGGACAGGTGAGGCCACAGCACCACCATCCAATCACCATGCCACCCTAAATCCTCACTTACTATTTTTTATATCACTAAACCAGACAAAACAAAGCCCCAGAATAAAGGGGCTATCTGAGTGTTAGACAGACAATGGAATCTCGCTGCATGCTCTCAGCTTTTTTTGGATAAGATTTTGTGTATTTTTTTACAAATGTGATTTTTATTTGATAGAATAAACATACCAGCTCTGACTGGTGGTGCCCATCTCCTTGTGCCCTGTGCTAAGTGGAGTAGTCTTATGGTAACTACAATACTGTCCTGGATAAGCAGTTTTGGAATGGATACAAAAATGCCAGCCTTATCTGCACTGCCTATCTTAAACACACTATGAGTCTTACTATAAACAGTAAACTCTGTTAACTTTATTTCTGAACTGTTAAGTGGTTTCCCAGTCAAGACTCAGGACTTGCCCTTATTGATTTTAACACCGGAGGGGTTTTTTTAAATCTTGACAAAACTACAAAATGGTACTTAGGTGGAAATTAGTGGAGTGCTCATGACAGGAGGCAATCAGAGCTGTTCGCAGTGCATGAAGAGGCATCTGCTTTTGAGGGCCGTGGATAAGAATCCTATGGAATATGCTAATTCAATCCAAAAAATATTTCATATAAGGGTGCCGTGGTGCTTCCTACCTCCTGGGCTAAGAGTCTGAATCCTACTTCTGCTTTGTGTGTTTGTGCAGTGCGTATGATCTCCCTGTAGTTTCCTCCTGCAGGTCAAAGACAAATTGGTACATTGGTAGTAGTGTATACTGCCCTACAAAAGCAAAACACAGTGACTGCATATTTTATCAAAACTGAGTTATAGTGAAAACTGGGTCTCTTAGGCTGTTTTATCTTCTGTTTTATCTTGATTTTGATGAAAACACAATTATATACCTTCTACACATACAGGTGGACAGGCAAAAAAGTTTGAAGCCCTTTTCCTCTGCTTCACTGTCAGCATAGTTACTGTGTTTTGCATTTTTAGGGCAGTATAATTGTGCATGCATGTGTGTGTGTGTGTGTGTCTGTATTAGGTTTATATTACATTATGAGGACCAAACACATGTGGTGCGCGGTGTGCGTGTGTGTGTGTATTAGCTTTATATTACATTATGAGGACCAAACACGTGTGTGTGCCCTGCCATGGACTGGAACCCCCATCCACTTGTGAATCATGCCCCATGCTGCCTGGTTGGCCCTCCAGCCTCCCCCGCCACCCTGTCAAGGATAAGCATTTGGAAGATCAGTAGATATTTTACATAATGTGCAATTTGAACTGGGGCTACAGTATTAGCACTTCAACAGACTTTAAAAGACGTTAAAAGACATTTAAGCTAGATAAACAATGTTTAGCTAAAGCTCTAATTTTCTGCAGCAGCCTTGTCACCACCTCCATATTATCAGGAGTCTATCTTGCAACAAGAAATTAGCTCATTAAGACTCAGTGGGTCTTGACTTTTAAAATGAGCCAATCAGAAAAGCCCTTTAAGGGATGTAGATAAATTCCATTAAAAGTCAATCTGATCTGACATGTCAGAAGGCTTGTGTGCAGAGTGCAGGGCGACTTGTGAATGTGAAATGAGCCTTGTTAACAGTCTTTCAGGGTCAGGGGTAGAGAATAGACTGTGTAGCTTTGAACATGTTGGATCTCTGCCTGTGACAGGGGTCTTGATGACCGTGACCAGACAGAAAGTGGAGGTTTTTTAGGTATTTGACAACCATACTGCATCACTAGGGCTCCCCCAAAATGTTCTTTACTCCCCCTCAATAAATGTGCACTAATAATTTTAAACAGTGTGCTCATTCATTCATTCATTTTCATTCTAAACAGACCCTCCAGTAAAGGCTTCCCCTCTCCCCCTTTTAATAAAGTCTGCAGTGATGCTCCTGCTGATTTGTGCCAGTCATCTGCCTATGATGTAGGCCGACACCCTACAAACTGTCACCCAGTTCATCATGTTATATCATGTGTTTGGGTGGAGCCACTGAAGTTGTAGCAATTATACTGTTATCCAGGAACTTGTGCTTAGAATTTGAGGACATTTTTCAAATCTTAGCAATAGTACATCTTTCCAGATCTGAGGCGGAACCTCCCTAATTTTAGTCAGATTTCTCTGCTAGACAATTTCCACACCACTGTTTGAAATCCTGAGTTTTATCAAGTATAATGGGGGATGTGTATGTTACACTAGATAACACATCGTTCCAACAGTGTCATACCATGTTAAGGTAATAGGTATTTTAAGAAAACAACCATTGTAAAGAGCCTTATCATTGTCTATCAGGCAAAATACAATACGGCTTTTACAGTTTGATATACCAGCCAAAGCACTCATTGAAGTTTTACTTACAGAAAAATGTTCTGAGGGCAGAATGAAAAATGATTGGTTCAGAGAGATAAACAATCAGATTGTGGAGGAGGTGGGTCCAAGCAACTATAGGAGGCAGAACCAACAAATCAGGTGTCTTGGTCCTGCTTCCTCAAGTTGGTTGGACCCACCTACTGTACAATCTGACTGTTTATCTCTCTGAACCAATCATTTTTCATTCTGCCCTCAGAACATTTTTATGTAAGTAAAACTTCCATGACCAGTCAGATCAAAGGTCGAGTATAACTAACATTATAAAAATCCATCACTATAGCAATTCTGTGGTACAGTGTATGAATTTGCATAGAAAAGTAAACGGGAGAAGTCATTTTAAGCAGTATCTCATTCATCTTAGATCTGATTGCTTGTTCCACCATGTTTTTCTGTATCATTCTGTAGTCGCCAGTTTAAATAGGCAGAACACAGCTATTTCACGTCAAGGCTAATGAGTGCTGTGATATGCTGTGTTATATTATTTAGATATTTTCTCTTGGATAAAAGGTAGAAAAAAGAAAAAGAAAAATGTTAATTGTTCAGTACCATTCAGTCCATTAAAGTATATCAATTACTAAAGACACAAAACAGCAGTCTCCTAAGGGGCAGAAGGCACAGTGAGATAGATTACAGGCCCTCCAACTGGGTAATTACCGTCTAACTTTCTCCAGTTGGAAATCACGCTGTATATACTGATATCTTAAATAGCTTTTGGTAAAAGTATAAGCTTAGGAACACGAGTGATTTTGGCAAATGTCTGCTGGCTATAAGAAGAAGTTTCTTAAGAAAAGGCATTAAATAAAAAGTGCACATTAGCCTGGTATTTATTAGATTAATATAGCATATTACTGTGTTTTACTAGTCAGTGAATATCCTGTAGAGATCAGGGACAACACCCTTGTTAGCTGAATCTCCACAATTCATATTGTCACCCTGGAAGCCTCTGAGTTCTGCTTATGGAGAAGAGCCTGAGGGCTCATTGTGGACATGAGCATCTATGCGGCATGGAGAGAAAAGGAAACTAGCCTTTGGATTTTTTGGTCTCTTCCGCTTTCAGGTTATTGACCCGTACCGACTTAAGAAATTCAAAAGCCGTCGCCTGACGTCAAGCCCAAAGCAGGCTAAGATGAGTCTCCACTCAGGTCTCTTATCAGCAATGTCCAAAAGATGATGCTATCAGGCGTGATACTTTTCAAGTTCATTACCGAGTGATTTTTGAAATACTGTGAATTATGGCTGTTCTCCTCTTCCCAGTATGCTCAAGTAATGAACAAGTCCTCTTGAAGCTTTGCAGTGCCATTCCTCAGCTGAGGTCTGCAGTTAAGAGAATGCTGAATCCACACCACCTCACCGAGTGCCTAACTATGGAAAAGCAATAATTGAAATAAGATCCGAATTAGAACGGAAAAATCAAACATTGAAAAGGGCCGACATTTGTAGTGTGTGCATTACTTTATTTTTAAAGATAGTTATGAATTCCTTGTGTGATAAAAAAAGAACATTTTTTGAATAGCAGTAGCATGAACATTAATACATTTTAGAGTTCGGCTGTGTAGACCAACAAATTTCATTACAAGCCATTACTATTTATACATACATAAATAACAAATATGTATGACATACAAAAAAGTGTCTCTGTTGGAGTTATGGAATCTGGGCACACCCACTCATTCTTGTACCGGGGTGGTGAACATGATCCATGGAGGGCCGGTGTGGGTGCGGGTTTTGGGGATGGCCTCTCAATCAGCCAATAAAGAGCAGTGGTTCTCAATTCCAGTCCTGGGGACCTACTGTTATTGGCTGATTGAGAGGTCATCCCAAAATCCTGCATCCACAGAGGCTCTCCATGGATCAGGTCTGCCACCCCTCTTCTAGTAGATTGATTAGACTGATCTGATGTAGGTGATGATGTCGTGCCCTTTAATTCAATACAAAATACAAAACAGCTCCATTTATTGGATTATTTATCCAATCTCACTGGCTACTATGCCTGTACACCAAGAAACTCAATCTACAGGACAATACACACACAGCAGTAAATGTTTGTTGCTTGCTACAGGCATGAGTGTCCTATTTACACTTTCTGAGGAATGCGTACATTAACCCATTGATCACGGTGACTGGGAGAGCGATCCACGCTAGGACAAATGAGTAACCATAATTCCCATCTTTGAATGACTTCGCCTGGAAGTTCCCATGCTGTGCGGTGTAAACTGAGGCTCCAATCATAATAAAGAATGCTTGAGAGGGAAAAAAGACAACAGATGGCAAATGCGCAAATACAAAGATAATAAAAAAATATTGTAAACAAATTTCACCATTTTATCAACCACACTGATTCACTGACTCTTATTCTGTGACAATGAGCAATATTACAAAAATCAAAACCATGACACTTGTTTTCGACAGACCATCATGAATTGCAAAATCAAAAGGAGGCAGCCATTTTGTCCTTCTGCTTTTCTCCAAAATTTAAAACCAAGCATTTAACCCTTACAGACTACGTTTCTAGGCTTATTCTAGCTACAGTGTGTCTGTGTGTAGTAGGGTTACCACCTAATCCATGTCAGAAAACAGAGGGGGAAAGTTCAGGTACAGAAAGTTCAAATCCAGACCAAGATTATGTTTTAACCAACCAGTTGAGTACTCTGTGACTGTGACTCTTTAAACTGGTGGAAACTTGGTGGAAACAAAATCTTGGTCTGGATTTGAATTTTCTGTACCTGAACTTTTCAAATCTGTCAGAAAGAATAGTCTGAGCTACTTCAGGTTTTGCAAACATCATTAAAACTGAAAGGCTCCTGTGCTCGGCTAAATACTTCAGCTTGGTATTGTGCCTTGACAGGCTTGATTCTTTGATTGAAAGACTCATCCAGCTGTTTGACATTGACATCAGTGACACATGCATAATTATATTAGACCAACCAATCAGCACACAGCAGTAACTCAGTGCTTAAGGGAAATCCAGGTCCCTTTGACTGAAGTGGTAGATTACAAACCCTGTCCTAGCTCAAAGTTTCCTCCCTGACATGGATTAGGAGGTATCCCTAGTGTGTACTCAGCCCCGGCAAGGCCTGCATTCAGTGAGCAGTTTAACTCCTGCCTTGTGTTTGTGGAATTTGCATGTTCTCCCTCTGGCTGTCCTTATGTCTCCCTGCTTCCCTCCCGCAGCCCAAAGACATGAGGATTAGGGGGATGCTGTCTCTGCACCCTTAGTTTGTGTATGAGTCTAATCTCTTAAACATAAATATTCATAAGCCAGCAGTGTGAGCTTACTTACATGTAAAGTATTGTAGTGTAATCATACATACTGTCTTTATTGGGTTCTCCATTCATTTGTTTTCTTTTTCTGTTTACAGGCTGTAAGGTTCCCCCGTTAGAATATGCATAATCATGGGGAGATACCTATCCTGAGTTTCCTTATCTGACAGTGTGAATAAAGGTGTGTATATGGCCTGCGATGTACCGGCATCATGTTGAATGCCTGACACTGAGCGTTTCCACAGAGACGTTCCAGACGACTGCAGACATATTTGGATAAGCAGTTATTGGAAATGGATGCATGAAAGATATCCAGAAATAAACTGCCCATACATCACTGTGACATTCACGTCAATAGTTTCCAGCTATGAAGCAGTATGTGAAGGTTGTGCTGCTCCACTCGGCATGTGTATATATGAATCAGCTGGCTTACATATACAAACTAAAAATGGCTAATCTATATGTGTGTGTACATTTGGGCGTCGGTTATACAGATACATATTTTCTGTCATAGAGGCAGTCATAGTAAGTGAAGGGAGAAAATATATTTAATTCAGCCGACAGCTGAAATACAAACGTATCACTTGTACTATAATACAGTTTCATATACTGTATATAGGAAGTCTCCAGGTTACGAACGAGATCCATTACCTAAGTCTTTAAGTCAAATCTGTAGGCAAGAGGGAAAAACAATAATACAGTACATAATAGTGACAGAACCACCTTTATCAGCAATGAGTTAAAGTAATCGTTTGCTGTGTGAGTTTGCTAGTCTCTCGCACCATTTTTCGGGCACTTGTGGCTGGCTGCTTCTTAGAAGATTGTTTCCCTTCATCGATATTTGAGGGCATTTGTTTATGCTCAGCTCTCTGAGTCCCACCGCAGCATCTCTGCGGGGCTGAGGTCCGGACAGGACTGGGCCATCCCACAGTGTACCTTCCTTTTCACGCCGCTGTTTAAAATAAACGTGGCTCCAGAGAAACCGTTCCTCTGGAAACATCTGGAGTGGTGGTGTGAACCTCACAGAACCTCATAGCATCAGTTTGGACAATATGCCAGATCAACACAGTATGTGCTGTGCTATTATTAATTTAAATTGAAAGGCTTATATTTTATACGTAAATGGTATTGATATTTAATATTGTTATTGTGTTATTTGTGTTATATGTTTAATTACATTCAATTTATTGAAAATGAAAGGCATATATGAGGAAATCATGCACACTACAGAAAAATGTAGTCCTTCTGCTGTATCGTACAAGGCTGTCTCTGGTTACACACCTTAAACGTGACCAATCAGTCGGTGATGCTACCTAGTCTTCTTTAAAACCAGAATCTGGAACAACTCATTCATGCACAGAGCCTTTCCTCTGAGCATACTAACATAAAAGCAGTACTCAAGGTTGAACTTATGAACCTTGCATTGTGATCTGCAGAAAATAAAATGCATCAGGGAAGAACTATTCTCAACACTTACCAGAGACCAGCTGGACAAGGGAGGTAATAACAAATCTCTCTCCTTGTTTTAGACGGAAAAGCTGAAGGATGAATACAATAAATCCCACGCAGCACAATATGGTAGCCAGTATCATGGTGGTCTGGACAGCCTGAAGATATCCTTCATTGCAAATAGAAATACATTTGGGTTGAACATAGTTATTTCAAAACATTCTGGATCATATACTTACATGCCATAGGGCTGTACTGAAACAGGCACACAGATTGCCATTTGCATATTGGTACATATGGTATCAGCTTTGAAAGGACAGCTATTTGTTTTAAGAGACTGAAGGAAAAGACATAATTAAATCACGTAAAGAGTGGGTTACCTTTCGATTCACTGTTGATGACAGGAAAGCAGGTGCTGTTGCAGGCAAACCAAAGACCAACATAGACATTTCCAGACACCCACCAAGCCTGCAAGAAAAGCAACAAAATACATTGTCACATGGAAACCAGTCTGCAGGGAAATGTAAAGCACAGAAAACCATCACCTTCACACGTTCCTTATAAGTAATGTTTTGCTTATGTTGCACGTTGCTATAGTTACCACCAAAATATACTTTGTAATTAAAATATTATTCTTAATAATAATACTTTGTTTATCTGATCACTTCAGCTAATAAAGCTAACAATAAAAAGTAATATTTCTGGAAAAAAGGATTTTGTTTATCTACTTACATTGCTTATTGTCGAAACGAAGAGAAGTACAGTTGATATTATATGGAATGTTGTTACGGATGCCAATATGACCAGCATGTTTAGGAGAGTGAAGGGGCTGAAAGGTGAAGGGAATTTGAACACAAAATCCAACGGCGTGATTGGTCCTGTGGAAAGTTTTAGCTCTTACTGTTGAGGTAACATACTGTAGAGTATGTGATAAATTTGGCTTTGACATAAGGGACAAAGTCAAAAAGAGTTACTAAAACATCATGAATTCTTAACGCGAACTATTAAAGAATGAATCCTACAGCTCAAAAACACGAAAAGACTTCAGGACATTGGGCTGCAACAGCATTAATAAAAACCTTCAGATCTTAAAATCAGCACATCTTGTAAGCTTCTCTCTGAGCTTTTCCATTTTGCTCCAGGCCAAACACTTTAATCATTTGTCTCCAGTCCTTTTGGTAGTAGAATCTTTGCTCTTCTTTTAAAGCCAAGCTTGTCACTGCATTGACCTCCCTTTTCAAATGTGACCAAACATAAACATAGAGATTTAAACACACACACTCTCTCTCTCTCTTTCTCTCTCTCTCTCACCCACCCACACCCACACACACACAATATGAGTTTAGATTATACTGTTACAGTACTGTGCAAAAGTCTTAGGCAGTCAAAAGAAATGTTATCTGTGTAGTAAGTGCATTTTGGCTTAGAACAGAAAAGCACAATTTAGCATTAGAGCATATGCAAATTTAAATTAATTTAAAAAGTAAAATATTGATTAGCTATACAATGTCTGCTAGTGGTTGAGTAAAAAAAATCATGGGTGTATTGAATGGTTGCTGTAAATGCTGGGGTGATTTTAGCAGAGTTGAAATGGCTAAGCTGACACACTTTGACAGGCATAACATCATAGTTTTGCACCAATAGTACTGTACATAATTAAAATACTGAGAAAACTGTAACAAAGGTTGAAACATGGCATTGTAAGCCAAAGGAAATAGTTCTCTTAAAATTCCTCCTAAAGTTAAATGTGTAAATGTTTAACACTGAACCAAGTAGAAAGTCTTAGAATTCTTCACTTGCTTTCATCAACACTGCAGTATTACACCCATCCCTCTGCAGATTGCACTTCAGAAACACCATATTTCAAATGCAATTAGTCGGAATGCAAGAAAGCCGCTGTGCTAACACCTCAGTCTTATCAGTGTCAAACTGCTGGACCGTTTTGTGGCCTTATCAGTTTCAAATCTTTCTGTTTTTTGCATTTACTAATCTTTGCAGTACCAGCACAAAGAGGCTATTCATTGCAGGAAAGGACAATACAGCGTCATCACCGGGTATTTTACATGCGGATCACACTAGGTTTGACTGCGAAATACAGTCTGGGCCATTTCATCTGCATATTTACAAATTATTATTATTATTATTATTATTATTATTATTATTATTATTGACATGTGTATCAAATCTTTTGAACTGGAAAACCAAGCCAAAACTGTATTATACAATTTCACCAAATGTAACGGATCTTGCGAAGTTACATAGAAACTTTTGGCCTTAACAAAGTGTTTGAGTGCATTATGGAACCTTTTCACTTGTGGCATTTGTAGCACTATTAGACGTCGATAAGCCTCACTACCAAACAGGGTCATCGTGCGCCTTGTCCTAATTTTGTGTTCCGGTTCATACCCAGGATGCTCTGCTGGATTTAATCTGATATGTTTGACGTTGGATGCTCTCCGACGCAATATCCTACAACTATTTTTCGCAAACATTAGCATATTTTGTCCCCCCCCCCAAAAAAAGGAACACATTTACATTCTTTATTTGTTTAACAGATTACCAAAAGCAACTAAGACGCTGCATTTTGTTTGGCCGTCCTAATGTTAATGTGCAGCATATATTCACAGGTGTAGGTCCTCTGGTATACTCACAACAAAAGAAGTTTAATCACACAAAAATATGAAAACCTAATCATAGTAGTTATTAGCCTGTTGTACATAAGATAGCGAATAAAGCAAATACGGAAATGACGCTACCCAAACATGAAATTAAAAAAGTTCAGAAAATAAGAGTAAGGAACCGTCTGCATCAGAATACTGAAACCCGTTGTTCCCTTCCTTATACTGTAGGTGGGGTTGATCTTTTTTGCCTCCCTAAGCAAACGATACATTACGCAAGTCAGTAGTCCACAGTTAGCTTTTGTTTGTTTTTGTCCGCAACGTTCAGAATAGTGACTGTGATAGCTTGTTTAAAGGTCATGGTGACTAATCTTTGTGTTTGTACATCCCCACCATCCCATCCCCAACATCCCATCCCCAACATAAATTCTCATGTTCAGCAGTGGACCAGACGTACGTGCTACCTTCCTCTCATTGGGCTGGGCTTCACTTGAGAAAATTCACCTTCATGCAGCTTAGCTCGGCTACATACTGTACATAGGCATCTGCTGCTTCTTTGCTGTCTCCCAAGACGAAAAGCATGTCCTAATCTTGGATAATGATTTAAATGCCCCTCCCCCCCCATACCTGTGCTGCTGCCATAAATACCTGGCTGTGAACTCTCCTGCCGTTCACTGAGGACACTCTGCTCAAGTCCCTCATTCCCATTTTCATTCTTAGTGAAAATGGAAAAGAGGACTGACTATAATGCATGTCATAAGAAGCGAGAAGTGTTCATTTTTATCGTGCGTGTGTAAAGCTATTGTTTATATTAATGTATATTACTTTGTATCGTTATGAGGCATAACATTTCAGAGAAACCTCAGTCGCATGAAAAAGGACAAATTCGTAGTAGTGAAGGGCTGGCGTGCACTGTTGATTATCTTTCATTGAAAAACCGATTCAAACTCTCGTTCAGAGCTCAGTGAGCAGCAGATAACAAACCCTTGCACTTTCACGGCTGAAGATACAACACCGCTGACCTCTATTCTAAAGAAAACACTGAGATAAAGCTCAACCCTGCTTTTTTCACCCAGGTAGTCTCACAATCTAAGTGAATAGGCAGATACGAGCTATATAAAGTTGTTGTTCTTGATGTCATCCAATAAGTTTTAATTTTATTTAAATATTCAAAAGCATGTTATTACTAAAAGCTCAGTAAATTGCATGTATACATTTAGTCATAAAATAGGTCTACTCTTTTTCAGTTCCATCTAAATGTATTCTTGTATTCACTTAATTGATAACAATCCAAAGAGTGAAGCTGCAATAATGCAATAATCAATTATCTTAAAGGCAACCTAAATTTGCCACACTGCAGGTACACTTAAAGAGATTCTACAATAATTCTATAATTTTTAACATGCATTGGTCTCATTTCATTATAGGTCACACGGTATTGGAATGTGTTAACTTTGTTGACCACAATAGTTCAATCATAGGGTGCATACTTGTAATATTTTGACATTAACAAAAATGTATTTGTGTATTATACAAAATGTGTTTGTAATTTTCATTAATAAATATGTACAGTGAGGGTGTCCAGAATAACTTACAGTATATGGAGCACATTAAGAGAAGAGAAGAGAAGAGAAGAGAAGAGAAGAGAAGAGAAGAGAAGAGAAGATTATAGCAAGTTATAGCAAGGAGGGGGATCTTTGTTGCCCAGGATAATAAATAACACCTACCACACGAGCCCCCTCCCTCATATGAACTGATTGACTAACAAAAAGAAAGTGTTTAGAATAGTGTTTCCCAACCTGGTTCTCAGGGACCCCCAGACTTTCCACGTTACAGTCCCTCCCAGCACCTTGCCAGACAGTCCGCAGCTGGAATGGAGCGAAAACGTATACTGTCTGGGGGTCCCCGTGAGCGGTTTGGAAACACTGGTTTAGAGCAATTATAAGTCAGGTTGGGTTATGGAAGGTCCATTGTTTAGTGCAGGGGGGACGAAATCCCTTAGCAACTAAACTGTTCCAGTCATCTGCACCCTTTATTTCTTGACGTCTTGAACGCACGTCACTGCAAATGTCAGCAATGAGCCGATTGTTTTACCCCAGTAACTCAATTAGTTTGCAAGAAGATTGCCAAATGTTTGCAGGATGCAGGATGCCTACCGGGACATCCTGAGGAAAAGAGTGCCCTGACAGCTTGATGATTATAATTTAAACAGCCAAGCGAGGAGCGGATACTTCACAGCGGTTCCTGCAGTGGTCTCTTTTATCTACTGTACCACCGATTGCCTACGGCTACCCGTTTGTACTGGACGCTGTGGTATATAAATGCTTCATAAACCGGCCACACCCCTGACCAGCAAACTGAAAGCCTCTCCCAGTTATAGTCACCACTAGCTCCTGTTTCCAAAATGAGAGACTGATGAATTCATTGTGCAGCCCATGGCAGTCTGTAAAGCCAGGCCGATATAACGCTGCATTTTAAAAACTGGCTGAAGGGAGATTCTGGCTGGGCTCGTTTCTTTAATAAAATCATTTCCATTTCATTTAACCAGCCGAACTACACAGAGCCACGGATAAAGACCATTTCCATTAATAAATTTGTATAAAATATTTAGTATTTTTGATCTGTGAAAGAAATAGTAACTGCTTCCAAATTATTACAGACCAACACATCATTAAATCCTTTTTGGGGGTTTGTACAATGTTTCAAATTGTTACAATGTGTTATAAAATGTTTCATAAATCAATCCAGCAATTTCTTAGACATACTTCCATTTCATTTATCTGCATCATTTACTGGAAATCCTAAAATGCGTACATACAAAAACTATTTGTAAATATACGCTCATTCTATACCAATGCAACTGCTGTGTTACAATAAATATTACGACAAAACTGCATTTGCATATGTGTTTTGAAATTATGCATATCGCGGATAACTAATTCAATCACTATTATTTGCAAGCGCTGATTTTAATTTCTTCAGCAAGACTTTTATCAACAGCACTTTGTGGAACTATAATTTTGGATAATGTTTATATAATGTTTAGATAAAATAAATTATAGAGTATTAAAAAAAGTACACCTCACGCATTTCTCTAATTAATTCAATACAATGAACATGTATTATAACAGTTCATTTTCAAAGTGTATCATTCTTGCTAAGTTTGAAACCTGCACGTGCTTTCTTCCACGTACAGTATTTATTAGTAAAAAGTATACTCACTTGATTCGAGATATGTCTCTTTTAAAGGTGGTTATTTTAATTAAACAAATCAGACGTTAAGACCTTGTCACGTAAAAAGGAACGTGATGGGAATTGAGAAGAACTACGTTAACGCTGCAAAAAAGTAATGACTAAGAAGTGACGCCCCTCCTCTCTCTGAAGTGACGTCTCACAATTTGTGTGTATATAACCTTACCGGGACCGTAGCAAACGATATAAAGATTTCTTATAACTGAAAGAAAACGCTATAAACTGCGTTATTCATGCAGCTGTATTGGTTATAGTTATTATGTGTGTGGACTTAATGTAGTAACACATTATCAAAAATAAAATAATATAGCAAATGACTGAACAGGGGTCGGCACAGTTGCGCAGTGGTCGAACAGAAAGTAAACCTTTTGACCACATCTCTCCATGCCATACGATCTGCTTTTTGCATTAACAAGAAGGTTTGTCTAATGACATGAGCTCATACAGTATGTATATGCACCCTTACCTTTATTTGCAAATCATTATGCAGTAATGAGACTGGGTTTTATTAAACGTAGGTGAGTCAACTACATAAAGTGAAGTATCCCATATTATTTTTTAGTAGAACCTTATATGCTGTGTCACATCTGATCCAGCCAGATGGTTCAGTAGCCCTGATGGTGTGGGGAATAATCGCGATCTTAACCATTTTCATGACCTCGTTGGGAAAGTAAAGGAAAGTTAATGTGGCACTAGTGTCCCCAGCAGCACTCTTCTAAGTACGCCCATTCCTGTTCCAGATCATTTCCTACCCTGGCTTATGGCTCCGATAGAGATAACTACCTGCATTTCTCCAGCTCTCATTCTGCTCTCTGGTTCCTCGTAGATGTTGCCTGTCATATATTGTTTTCCGGGTTTTGTAAGTAACCCCTGTGGCTCCATCACGGACACCATTGCTGAAATCCCCAAGTTGATTTTTCTGTGTATGAGGCTGGCACAGCGGCTCAGGGAAAGGCATGGTGGCCTGTCCCTGGCTGTGTTTATGTAGGTTGCTTCTGGATTCCTCCCACAGTCCAAAGACATTTAGTTTACTGGTTACTCTATGTTTCCATTATATATGTGCCCTTTGATAAGCTGCCATCCTGTCTGGGGTGTGCCCACTGCCATGCCCTGTGCATTCTGGGATAGGGTCTAGGCCAGAGGTGGGAAATCTTATCCATAAAAGGCCACTGCGTACACAGGTTTTTGCTGAAACTCCCTCATTAGATTACTAATTAGAGGATGATTGGCTGAGGAGTCTTCACACCTGGGTTTGAACAGCTGACCTACAGGTTATCCCAAAGACCTGCATATACACTGGCCCTTTGCGGATAAGATTGGCCACCCCTGGTCTAGGCTCAGAATTATATAAGTGATTACTCATCCATTCATCCATCCCTTCCCCCATCCATCCATCTGTCATCCATCTATCCATCCATCCATCTTCTAGCCATTAGTCCAGAACAGGGTTATGGGGAGAAGTGAATAATGGACATATAATTTTCAAAATATTGTGTCTTCAGTGCTAACGAATCCATAAATCCATGCATGTTTTCTCATATATCTGTCTTGTTTACCAAAATATTGTAATGATCAAGATGCATTTTCAATCCTCAGAGTAAAAAAATTAGGTAGATAGGGGAAGAAACAGGATAAATCTGAAAGATGATTTCCTAACGCTGCAGATCTACATGGTATATTTTTATTTTTTTATCATGGACAGTTATTTGTCTAAGGGCTGGCAGCCTACAGTAAGGATGTAGTGAAATTTGGAAGTCTGTGTCAGGATGAGCTACGTCTGGTTACCCTCCTTATGCTTGTACCTGTCAGAATAGGTCGAGTGGGAGGTAAGCTTGTGCGTATGCCTTGAAAAGTTTGTGGAAAGTTTCTAAAGTGATTTTGAGAGCGTGGAGAGCGGCGAGAGCAGAATCTGGGGTCTTTAGAGGGTGAACACAGTGAGCGCTTGTTTAGAGACAGGAGACTGCTGTTGACAAATTAGAGGGAAAGATGACACCTCGCTGCTTAGTAGGCTGGCCAACCATAACCAGGCTGCATGCCGCTCTGGGGGAGGTTAGGGGAGGATCCTTATCTACAGGGTACTTTAACATCTCAGGTGAGGGATCATTGCATTTGTTATTATTCAGTCGAGTGAACAGGTGGTCAGATAAGGCTCCATCATGGCAGGAAGGGAATTTGGAAGGAAGAACACAGAGCAGGCCTGTGACCTTTCCCCTAGACCTTTCCCTCATACATATCTGGGTGTGAATGAAAGAGCAAGCAAGACTTACTTAGATCCCATGAGTGGACAGTCAGGACAGGCCATTGGAAAATGGGTCACCTCTATTTATTTGTAGCTATTTATTCAATGCTTGCTCTGCACTTACCAGAGATTGGGAGTGTGCTTGGGATACAGACCAGGCTCCTCTTTACCAAGTACTTTCTTAGAGATTACAAAGAACTGGGTTTGATATCACACGGAACTTGAGAGGGAACAGCGAGAAGCTTTTTATAGCTTAACTGCGGTGTGGTATATAAATAAATGTCTTGGACCTGTTTGGAGTGTCTAGTGATCTGTGTGTTCAGGGCCGGGTTATTTGTGGGAGGTCTCTTGTGGTCCAGGTGCAGGACTCTCAGCCCATAATATACTCAAGAACTAATCAGCCGTTGGTTACTCTGCACTTATCTGTCTGAGTAGGTCCAGTAAGTCTCCTGTTCAGCTGTTGATGTGTAACGCATATATATTTCATTCACCACATATGTAACCATTTTCAAAAAAGCTCCCCGCATTTGTATTCTCACAGCCTTCAGTGGTGTGTGAAGCATGCAAGAATGCTTTTGGCTATGTTATGCTGAAAAGGATGTAAAAAAAATCAAGCAAAATATTATAAATACACGCACATACATATAAACACACCATGATGACAAAAGCTGTAAAATGTATTCATAAAAAGACCTGTAATTTGTATTTTTATAATTAATGATATACAGAGGAATATGAAAATGATGTGAGCCTTGTAGTTCTCTGCTACCAAATTCCCCCACAGAAAACAACCTACTTATCTATTTTAAGAAATGTGGATCTGTTTCGCTCTGAACAGCAAAGTATATTGTATCTTGTTATGAAACTGAAGCTTTTTTTAATGAATCTATCACACTTTTGCAAGATTAAAGTATCGCCGACAGCAAGCTAGACCTTCTGCTTGCACTGGTATAAGTATGTAAAACGTTAATTTGCAATAATTTATATTTCTGTATTTATGTATTTTTTGACAATGATGTCATTGCTGTTGCTTGTGTAACAGGCAGTGTCAGCTTTTGCTTTCAGATTTTTTGGGCACCAGAATACCCTGAAATTATGGAGCTTCTTTGAGGTACACAGATGTAGCCAGGAGCCACACGGGTAGGAGCTGACACGTGAGAGCGGCCTGCTTTGAGCGTAGCTCAGTAAATCAGGACCCACCACGGAACATGAGAGGGCTTGTGTGCATCGAAGCCTGTATTGTTTTACGCTGTGTTGCACCATGACTGCAGGTAACGTGAGCAACACACGGTGGGTTGTGTGGATTTTCACGCTGGGATGCTGCGGCAGGTTTGCTAC